TGTGTCACTTGCATGTTAGGAGTATTTTATGTCATACTGACACTGCTGACGTAGGTATTAGGCCGGTTCAACACACTATTTTCTCGCTGAATGACCTTGAATGTCTTTTTTCTCACAAGTGTACAAGGTGGCCAAATAAGCGAGGTAAGCGACTGTATCTCAGGCCCTACTAGTCCTACAATCTTGAAACAAAAAAATTTGTCGTAAAAGTGGCCCAGAAACAATACTGCAAAATTTAAAAGTTTCCTTATTGCTTTATTTTGTTACTAAAAAAATATGACCGTTAGCTTCTGTTAAAATCTGCTAGGGAGCATTGATTTACGCTATTCGACGAATTATTTCGGAAAACTCAAATGCAACTATATGTATACTTTGCGTCATTAAAAACAGGGAACAAAGCATAGCTAGCTAGTGAAAACCGCATTCCAATATCACTTCCGGTTATACTTTTATAGCTTAAGGTTCAAGCTATCCAACAATATTTTTTTATATAGAGTGATTTATATATAGTGAGACGTTAGTCTGGTAAACTAAAAAAACTTAATCTTTCAAAGTTACTCGTTTAAGGGGTCCCTACTAATGTTCATCATATTACCATTTAATTAAATTACAGTAAGTACTTTAAGTTATTCAAGAAAAACCTATGTCCAGCGGCGTCTTTTGGGAGCCCATATCTTCGCGAGGAGGGCCGGCAGGGAAAAAGATACCTTGTATACGCAAAATTTGTATTTGGTGCCCCGATTCGTGTTGACAGTGAGTTGATAGCTACTGCGCAGTCGTCGAATAATTTAGAAGTCACGCAATCCCAAAGTTGTTTTGTGTTTGTTGTTTTTATGACGAGTATGTAATTTTTTAGTGTTCATTATGATGGAGAAAGAAGACGACGAGATTGCAGAAGATATGTTTGGATTTTTAAGGAAACAGGGAGTTGACCCTTGCCAATTAGAAAATATGAGGTTTAATGAGGTAAGGTCATTAATATTGTAATCAATGGCCGCGTTACTTTGGTACTCATATACATAGACTACATAGAGTACTCATATATTATAGAGTCCATTTGCATGTAAAAATATATCTTGTATCTCTTTCCCAATGTTGAGGACAAAACAAATAAGTATTTTTTAAATGGGATGATTTATGTACTTATGGTATGTATATTAGAAATCATCGATTGAATAAAGGTACAATATTTACTTGGCTTGAACCAGTTTAGAATTGACAAGTCACAAAGTGGACATTTACATTGAAACGTAAATTTTCAAATCAGCCGAAAAGCAATTTTATGCCTCATTTACATTCAATTTGATAACGAAAGCAGCTTATAAATTGCCAGATTGTATGCAACCGTTTACATTGAAATGTAAAGAGCACTTATGTTGTTATAGATTACACCTAAACTACTAAAAGACATGAAAGAAGATGTTGTGTATTAAGCCAATATGGCAACCCTGCATATAAATATGGAAAAATGACATTTAGCTAGCGGGGTTATGTTCAAGTCAGTATGTTCAAGCTTTGATATAACGCATTATTATTTTACCCAAATGTGTATGTGCTGGTTGGAAATAAAGTGTTATCGCATAACCCGGTTTATTTTGCAACCCTGACACAGTACATTACATTTATTGGCGATGAGGATGGGATCCCGGTGATCTAAATTCGATAAAAAGAAAATCGCGTGTGTAATACGAAAGTGTCTCGATACCTCTACCGTGAGTGACATTAGTAATATTAATAATGGCTACCCTGGGTAATATTGAACAGTTCGACGCGAGTAATCCAACTGGATGGGAGCCCTACCAGGAACGGGTCGGTTTCTTCCTGTCGGCAAATGGCATCACGGATGCCGATAGGAAGAAATCAGTTTTTCTGAGTATGTGCGGTCCTGCTACCTACGACATTCTACGGTCGCTACTCGCACCTAACAAAGTGAAAGACACGGAATACGACGACATTATAAAGACTCTTACAGAACATTTCGCACCCAGAACGTCCGAAATCGTGAATCGTTTCCGATTTTACCGCCGGAATCAAGAGGCAAATGAGAGTTTTTCTGCATATCTCAAAGAATTACGCCACTTGGCGGAAAAATGCAATTTTGATAAGTTAGAAGAGATGCTACGAGATCGAATTGTATGCGGAATCCGAGACGACGGTCTCCAACGACGTCTATTAGCGGAGGACAAAATATCTTTTGCTAAAGCCCAGGATATGTGCCTAGCGCATGAAGTTGCAGCCAGGAGCCTAGCAACTCTCCGCGAGACAGCTACAGGTTCCACTTTTTCGGTGAACAAAGGTGGCAACGCCGCGTCAGCCACAAGCAACAGGTACGCCAACGCCGCTAGTGCCAGTTCGCGAAACCAACATCGGAATTCAAGATCAGCTGTTGATCAAAACACAACAAGTAACGTAAATGTTAAAAAATGTTTTCGTTGCGAATCAAATCACTCGCCGGATACGTGTAGTTTTAAAAATGCAAAGTGTAGATTTTGTGGAAAAGACGGACACATCGAAAAGGCCTGTTTCAAAAACAAAATGTAAATAAAAGACAGGTACATAGTATGAATGATGTTGTTTCTAATAGTGTGGACGGTGAAAATGGACAAATAAACAGAGATGAGTATAACTTTTCTTTAAATAATGTAAGTACGGACAAACTTACAGGCAAATTCACTCTAGATGTGAAAATAAACAATAAAAGTCTGACTATGGAAGTAGACTCAGGCGCAGCCTACAGTGTAATAAGTAGAGCTAATTTATATAAACTCTGTAGTGGTAAACTGCCAGTACTTCGACAGTGTGGCGTTATTCTACGAGACTATCAAAACAGCCTGATTGCTATACATGGTGAGTGCGACGTCGACGTACAATGTGGTTCCAAAGCAGCACGACTACCTCTCATCGTTGTATCAGGTAACCGAGCAAGCCTGATTGGAAGAAATTGGTTTGTACCATTGGGTGTGTCAATTGCCGGGGTGAGTAAAATTTTTAATGTTCCGGATTATGTGCGTGATTACCCAGACGTATTTTCGATAGAATTAGGAACTTTTAAAGGTCCGCCGGTCTCGTTTGACCTAGACCCAAACGTTAAGCCCATTGCACTTAAGGCTCGGAAGGTGCCCTTCGCTCTCAAAGACAGGGTAGATCGCGAGCTTGATAGACTTAGTGCACAGGGTGTGCTAGTGCCGGTAGCATATCCAAAATGGTGCACCCCAATCGTTGTGGTCTCAAAGAGCAACGATGAAGTGCGTATTTGCGGGGACTATCGTAGTACCGTAAACAAAGCCTTACGCGCTGATACTTATCCAGTGCCGTCCGTCCAGAAAATTTTAGCTACACTTAATTCCGCGGTAGTGTTTGCAAAATTAGACATGGCTCAAGCTTATTTACAGCTTACCGTCGACGAAGCTACAGCCGACGCGCAGACAATCATTACGCACCGTGGCGCGTTTCGCTGTAACCGATTGCAATTTGGAGTGTCCGTAGCGCCCCAAATTTTTCAACGTTTTATGGACATGCGTTTATCTAATATACAGGGTGTCCTACCGTATTATGATGATATCCTGATAGTAGGTAGTTCAGATTCGGACTTACAACAGAAAGTGCGCGCGGTACTTAACCGTTTTCGAGAAGATGGCCTCCATCTTAAAAAGAATAAGTGTATCTTCCGCGCTGACAAAATTACGTTTTTAGGATTTGAAATAAGTGCTCAAGGCATTAGTCCTACAAAAGATAAAATTCGCGCTATTGTTGAGGCGACGGCGCCTACAAACAAAAATGAACTCCAGTCGTTCTTAGGTCTTTTAAATTTCTACCACGCATTTTTAAAAGACAAAGCAGATGTCGCGGAACCTTTACATAAACTGTTACACAAAGACGTTAAATTCCAGTGGCGCGCCGAACATAACATTGCGTTTACGCGTCTTAAAAATATAATTGCAAGTGAACCGATCTTGAGACATTATAACGAGTCTAAACCTCTAATACTCACCTGTGATGCCAGTCCATACGGTGTGGGTTGTGTCCTCGCTCAGCCCGACGACGCGGGTAATGAGTATCCAGTCAAAAAATAAACATGGAAAATCGTATTTAACTTGAACTTCCAAAGCCGACTCGACAGCAACTCATTTTTGATCGCCAGTTATAATCTATTCTCAAACTCCTGTCGAACCTTTTCAAATGTTGGTTTTGCAATATTTCGACATTCTTAAATTATTCTCTGTCTTAGTTCGTCTATGTTCGCCGGTTGCGTTTTAAATACGACAGATTTCAAATGTATCATATTAGTTTATTTTTTGATTTGCACGATAATTACTAACCTAAATGTAATGCTATTTGGTATGGTTAGAAAGCATTTTTTCAGAGCTTTCCAACGACGTATCACACATGGGGGGTCACTATTTAAGATTTAAAAGTTGGGGTGGCTGGGGCGCAGGGGGTTGGAGGGGGTGCGTCGCCAACTATGTCATTGTGATTCGCCCTCCGAATTACCGAAACGGATTTTGATTTTTTTAAATATCTCGTTTATTTAATAAGATATGGGGGGGTGGTAAGTTTTCAAATTGTATGTATCCTATAGACGTTTTTAGCGCATTTTTGAAAAAAATACGCTATTATATTCGTCATTGCTGGCAGGCCGGCTGTCCGGGTTAGATCTCCACAACTACAATAGCTAGAGACTTCAAATTTTCACTAAAAGCTTTCTGCTATAGTGTAGATGTGCAGGCACTAGTCTATTTTGAGTTAGATTACTTGTGAGATCGATAATTGAAGAAAATAATTTCGATATGGGTTTCGGAGGTGCTATAATTTTACTCTACTAACTATTCTTGTGTGGTAATTGGCGATACTCCTACCAATCTAGATCCGAGTCTAGATCTCTCAGAATGTCAATATTTTCCGCAGACGTTTAAAGAAGTGTTACGAATTTTACAAAAATCAGTTGATCTCGAAACATCATATACATTTACTGTTTTCAGAGATGAAATTTTTGAGTGTTGTGTAAGGGCCATGAGACGACCGACATTTTCACCATATAAAAAAATGTTCGTGAAATTTAGCGATATTGAGGGACTGTCGGAAGGGGCCATTGACGATGGAGGGCCAACGAGGGAGCTTTTTCGGCTTGTTTTAACTTACATTAAAGATAGTCCAATGTTTGTCGGTAACCGCAAAAAACTATCACTTAACGCAGTTGCTTTGGAAAACAAGCATTATTTCGAAGCAGGCCGGATCATAGCTTTATCGCTAATACACGGAGGCCCTGCCCCACATTTTGTTTCGGATTTCCTCTTTAGTTTGATAGTCGGAGATGAGAATACAAAACCCACATTTGAAGATGTAGAAGAGGATGTCAGATCGACCCTAATACAACTAAAAAATTGTGATTGTCTTTCCGATGCACAGAATATAGTTACGGACAACAATATATTTTCGACTGCGGGATATAGTTTTATTTTCAAGATTGAAGAGATACCAAAAGTTTTAGAGGGTGAGTAACTAAACTGGACTGAATATAAGAACGTCATATTCATAATATTACCTTTCCAGGGACGGTCACATTTTTTACTGTCACAAGAATTAGCGATGCTTTATTTCAGTTCATGGAAGGCCTCAAGACGTGCAACGTCTATGAGTATTTGACAAAATATCCTCATCTATTTAAAAGGTATATGTGCAATGACATAATAGCAATTACAGCAGAAGATCTGGATAACTTGTTTGAAGTATCATATTCCGCCATCGGTTCAAATACACGAAAAGTCGAAAACAAGGTTATTACCTATTTTCGGGATTTCCTGCTTGACTGTGAAGGTATAAAAAATCGTCTAAAGCAAGTTATTAATTTTTTGTAATTTTCAGGTAATAACTCTCAAGATATATCTAGTACCTGCTCCCATGGAAAGGTGTCAGTAACAGATGTTATGGTATTTGCCACAGGTGCAGACCATATTCCTCCATTAGGCTTTCGAACAAAGCCGCAAATAGAATTTTTGCACGGCGATTCAAGTATTTACCCAAAAGCAAATACATGTTCTCTGACGCTTCAATTGCCAGTTGCACATACGAAATACGAAGAATTTACAAATGCTTTGAATTTCTCAATTGCCAATTGCAATTCTTTTGGGTTCTCGTAGTTTGTAAGTTATCCATATTCTGAATGCACAGTTGCCTTTTTGTAACTTTATGTTTATTGTTGAGTTTTGTCAGCTTCATTTTTATTAAAACTGCGAATTCTAATATGTTTTACTTAGAAGGTTTATTTTGTTTCAATAAACGTAACGGCTAAATTGCAATGATTTATTTAACCCATTTCCACGAAGCTATACATAGAATTAAGCATGAAATGAAAAGATTATAAGCACTTAAGTAATATGACTGCTGTTTTTTCTAAATTATCTAAAAACTAAACTAAAAATTAATGCAAATGTAGTTCTTCCAGCATTTTAATAATTTCCGTCCTTAGTTCACAATACTTATTTATTGCTAAGTAAGTACTATCCGATGCACCAAGATTTTTTTCTCTACTTATGACATCGCATAGCTCAAATACAGTTTCATCACGACATGATCTGTTCACAACTTCGCACAGATTTGCACAATTTTCGATGTAATTCTCTTCAACAGGATTTAGAAAATTGGTACCGCCATATAAAGCAGGAAAATCATACATCATATCGGGGCGACCGCTTGGTGAAATGCTGTTGCGTGTTTTACGGATCACGTGGTTGTTCCACTCTTGAGCAAATTCATTTAGTTCTACCTACAATTAAAAAAATGTCTTTGTGAATAAAAATGTCACGCGATACGAGACATCTCTTCTTGTCTCGAAGCCGTTTGTGCCGTCTCGGCAACATGTTGTGTCAAACTTCGAAACAAGGCTTTATCTCGTCTAAAGCTCCTATCAGTTGTCTGTAATCTTTTTTACCATCAACTGACAGGAAAACGGTGTTCTATCGGTTGACGGTAAAAAAATTAGTGACAGGAGCCAAACTTTACAATAAGTTCACATAGAAAGGGACAGATTTCGTAAAATTTTTAGAAGCCAATCAAGAACATGTCAAACATAATTTTTAAATGCATACATTTTTGGTAACCTCACTGGTTTCGCATTTAACACACCTTATCGCCTATTCTATGCGACCTTACTGTAAATTACCTATATACCTGTATTAGGTCCATGAAACAATACTGGAGAAGTGACTTATCGATTAAAGTACCATTAAACATTCCGTCATCCTTAAGATGTTCAAAACAGTTCATCCAGTACTGACTATGTTGTCTTCTGAGCAAACCCCACCAAGCCTCGATTCTCTGATTTGCTTGGCTTGTACCATATAAAAATGGTGGCAATACATTACCATTTTGAACATTATGCATTGCTTCATGAAAATATTCTTGCACATGTTTAACAAGTCCATTTTCGGTGCCCATATCCGTCCTTATACTTTGCGGATAACCCTTTATATTGGTTACGGTATCCAGAAAATCGCTACATATAATTCTGGGATTATTGTTGGAATATGCTGCTCTAAGCCATAGTATTTTGTGGGAAAATCCGTCAATGCATCCACTTATGCATACTCCATATGGCTTTAATTTTTCATATCCGTCAATATGCCACATATAATTCGGGCGTTTGTTATAGTAATGTCTTCTTCTTAGTCTTTTCCTTCGACGCACCAACATACCTTCAGGATCCAATAAATGCATTATTTGCCGAATAGATGACTGCTTTACTGTCATTCCATTTCGAATGCATCTTCGATAAATCCACTTATACCCAGGCATTTGTCCACTTCCAAGCAAATGTTCTTGCAGAAAACTATCTCTATAGGGGTATACATCTTTCGGCGAAACAGACCCATCGTCTTGAGCCGGCGTTTCAGTGTCCTTGGACTGATATCTTCATCATGTGTTAAGAGATATAAAAGTATTTCGTTCTGCTGCAACCCTAGGTTAAAGTAATGACGAATTAGTCTGTTTAAACGTTCATTGTCAGCATTCATATTTCCTACAAACGAAAGGCACCAAAATTGATGTAATTACTCGGGTTACGCACGCACTTGAGTTAAACTTAACTGCAACTTAACTGAACTAACAACAGACTAAACAAGACTAAAAGTCGCCCGACTGTCAATAGCTAAACAACACGACTAATGGCCATATGCACCGTTTTTTATTTAAACTGCGCTTACGTAAGCTCGCTTAAGTAGTTAAGCGCTATACATAATTTTTGGTAATGCACCGTACCAAACTAAACCGAGTTTTGGTAAACCGTGAATATGTTTGGCAACGTAGCATTTTTAACCCACAATGCACTTCGTCTACTCAGTTGTTTGACATGTTATAACCTCAAATAACATTGTGAATTGTGATTGTAGTATTGTACAGATTTCACGTCTTTGTTAAAACTATACAAATATGAGCAACGCAAAAGTTCGAGTGCCCAACTTTTCCAGTACAGAGAAGCTTCATCTTTTAACGATTATATCTCAAAAATATTACAAGATCCTAGAGGACAAGAAGACTGATCGCGTTTCAACGGGACAAAAAGAAAAGGCGTGGGACGAAATAGAAGCCGAGTTTAATGCTTCATCTACCTGCACCACATACAGAAATGCACTGAGCCTCAAGAAATGCTATGAAAACCGAAAAAAAGAGCTCCGGAAAACTTTAGCTACTAATAAAAGAGAAGCATTATTAACTGGTGGCGGTCCACCGCCAAAGAAGAAGAAAGATGGGGACGATACACTGATGGATGACATTTTAATGGCCATTTTAAATGAGAAAACTTTGTTGGGTCTTAAAAATCCATTTGATGATGATGCAGATGAAACGGAGATACCCCACATTGAAGGTAATGAGGAAGTTGTTCTTGAATTAGAGGCATACCCATGCGAAGTTGCAACTACCGAAAACTGTGTAGCGGATACTGTTAATGTGGAAGCACAGGTAAGTTTTTATCAGTAATAGTCAGAGACTTGTTATAACTAGACCGCGCGTAACGTAGATTTTACTATAAACGCCTGTTGTCAATATAGGATAGGCAACCAACTGTTCATTGCGGGGCAGACGTACGTTCTGCAGCTTGCTTTAGCCATGTTTATTCTAAATTTTAGTAGCAAAAAGAGATAACATACAGCTGTTAACTGTTTTAATCGAATTTATTGGTATTTTATTTGAAGTAAATTGATATACATATAACTGCCTTACTCTAGTCCTAGTTTGATTTATATGTGTATTTTGGTGGTGAACACGTATGGGAAAATATACTCTTAAAACTAAAGTTGTAAGTAGTAAGATATGATTATTTAGCGGATATTGATTCAATATATTCCTATCCAAAAACCCAAATGGGCTGTAACTGTTATTTATTTTTCTTAGACTGCTGATAACCATTTTGTTTACAACGCGGTGTGGTGTGGATTGAATGAAAAACCTGAACACATTTTCAGCAATTTGGCAAATTTTTAATGCATCGCTTGATACGTGCAACAATCCTCCACGATGTTTTCTAGTTAAAAGCTTTGAATGACTCTCTGATGCGAATATCGCATCTGCACATATGGAACATTTAACAGACTTACCTATTTTTCTTGTAACAAAACCTGAAATATACTTAGTACCAGTAAGTACTTAGTTACGTCTATACCTAATAGACAAATAGGTACTGCCGTTGTCTTGCTGGTAAAGGATGTCGAATAATAGTTCTACGTTATTTTAAGTGAATGGGAAAGTCGAAAACGCTCGGTATTGCATTATTGTTTAACACCTTCGTAGGTACCTTTCTAAAATCGGCTTCATTCCCCGCAAATGCACTATGGTGGGAGTAAATTTTTCTCTTCGAATGGCTCTGATCCATTGGCCCTTTAAACTTTTATCCGTTGAAAATCAGCGTATTATTTAAAAATTTATCGACAGAGTACATGTTGATAGGCACAAGTTAACCTAAGTTTATTGGTTTATTCTCAACAGAAATTTATCTGTTCACTAATTCGAGCTAATCACGAGAATGATTAATGAACGGAACATCTAAAATAACAGCTTATTTCATTATATTGCATATCATCTCAGCGATTTTTGCCCCGCGGTGCATTGTGTGTTGCATACTGTGTCGACAACACCTTAGATACGTTAAGCGCAGTCTAGTTATAGCAAGTCTCTGGCATCTCATGCACGTATAATGACGTACCGTACTTAATGTACTTACGCAGTTATTTGTAGTGGATGCGGTCGGCTCCACCATTATCCTATACTATACATGTACAAAACTTGTGTAGGCTGTCATGTCTCTTTAATAGTCAAATACGAACTGGTTATTCACATTGAACATTATACAATATGTACATAAGACATTACAATACTTTTAGTGTAATGATTGGTGCTACACCACATCTCCCTTATTTAATAAAGAACTAGAGCAGGTGTAGTCTAATTGTCTTGGCTTCTCGGCGTCATTGCACTTACACTTGGTTTGAATGATCGCTATCCTTATTACAATTACATTTTGATTGTGAACTCCTAAATTCATCATCAAATTATATACAAAATTGTAATAAACTTATCCGTTATTTTCTACATTATTTGTATGTACATTGTTCAATATTAAATCTAATTTCTAATTAACACCTTACATCTAATGTCTGCACTTTGTAAGTTCTATTACTAGGTTGATCTACTATTTACCCTTTCCATGGATTTTGGGTTTTAAATTGCATACCAAACGGCTGTGCCGATTTTTAAAATCTGTGTCTCGTACTTTACACCTTACTATATATTGCTTTTTGTTTCACGATTGAGAATTACTAATTTTCTGATTAATTTTGTCGTTGTAATTAATTTGGATTAACTTTGAATCAATTATATAACAAGTTGCTCTGAGTATCGGACATTAAAATTGAGATGGGTATAACAATTTGTAAACAGGAGTGTCGAAAGCTATAATAAGCGTTAGATAAATATCTTCATTATTTTCAGTGATTCTTAATTAATTTTTATTGTTTGAAATGGTTCTCTCCGTTTGTACATTTGACTGTTGGTGATGCACGGAGAGGATGTTATTGATAAAAAAATTCACTGTTTTACTAAAATTTTGAAATTTAATGCCTGTGAATTTTTTTGCAGTGTCGGAAACGACTATTTGGGATTCCATGTTTGCAAAAATTGCTTTTTAATTTGTTAATTATGTTACTAGATTGTTAATTTTATGAAGATTCGAGATTTCTGAAATTTTGAGTATTAGTCTACTACAATTAGATAAATTTACAGATACTTCATATAAGTTCAATGCCCACTTTTGCATGGTTTTTTAATTATTTCTGTGAGAAATCATCGTTCTTTTTTATTTGAGTTCGTGGTTGAGTTTTTTCGACAAATTTCTATGAAATCTACAACATTGCGTGATATAAACCTCAGGAACTTTGTATGTCTTTTGTTATTTTTAGTTGAGGCCATATTTTTATAGCATCATATTTTTTCTTCATCTATCATTATCCCTTCACTCGACCGAGCAGTGCGCATTGTCGTCACGATGCTATTCGGCGAAGGTTGTGTGGTACGAACGCTGCCGACTTGCTCTGTTGGAGGTTTGTCAGGGGTTTTCCTCGACATACGTAAGCTTCGCATAATGCTCATTTATGTTGAAATCTACGATGGCAAATGCTGAGCAGTACCTCCCCTTCAGCACCTAAACTTCCTGCCATCCCTAACTTATATCCATCCTTACAAATCCCTTCTTGGCCGAAGAGGCCAGGAAGCCCTGAGCAGGCCGCCTCCCGGGGGGGAATCTTTTTTTTCCTGGTTTAAGTTTTCAAAGGGGGGGGGAGTGCCGGAAGAATGAAACAGCGTTGGGCTTTTTCCTTTTTTTTTCCTTCACTCGAGGAATTATACCCTATAGTATTTAATTTCCTACTCCAATCTACACAGAATTAAAAAATTTGAACCAGTTATAAATGAGAACCATGACTTCAGCTATTAAATTATCAGAGGTCGCCAGCATGTTTAAAATCGAAGATAGTGAAACAGTATTTACCTTTGTAGTAATAGATTGTGCTTGCAATCGTGTCGAGTATGTACTAGTTCTACTTATCACAATTGTTTGTCCAGGTAGAACCGACAGTTCAGGCGTCACTTTCGTGTTTTCGAACCTGTTTAAATATTTATCGAAAGGAATAAGTTCTAGATAAATTATTGGGTAGATTTTCTGCATTTATCAACATAACCCCCAGGATATCGCGTCTTCAAATTTCTAGTAAATTGGACGTTTTAAAAATTGCGAAATTCACCAACCCGTACCTATACTAATAGGAAGAAAGAAATGAAGTATGAAGTAGAAGTACGCAAATAGGTACATGATACATGTTTTCTTGAAGGATATAACGTAACCTATTTTACATTCAAGATGGAAATCATAGATTTCTTGACTTATTCGAATCCGATGACAAGAATATTTGAGGTGATCTATCGCGACCTAATATTGATAAGACTCGAAATTAGCAGTTTCTTTCAGATGTACGCGGTGTGCATTTACATCACGATTTTAGTGTCATGTTCAAGTACTATATTCTGTAATTTACGTTGACAAGTTATATTAAAGTCACTGAATTGTCTTCAAAAACAAAAGCATTCGTTCAAATTGTAGTAGTAAGCTATATCTTTCTACTGAAAGCCCCACAACCTCGTTCTTCTCGACGGTTTTTACCGACGGGTAAGACG